CTACTACTACAACGACGACGACGACGACGACTACGACTACTACTACTTCTACCACTACTGCTGCTGCTGCTGCTGCTACTACTACTACTACTGCTGCTACTACTACTACTACTACTACCACTACTACTGCTAGTACTGCTAGTACTGCTAGTACTACTAGTACTACTCACATCAACTCTGGCGCCGAGTCACACTGACATTGCACGATGGTGCTGGCGCCTTCGGCGCAGGTTGATGCTCAACTCAGAGTATAAAGGGGGCCCGCAAAGGCCCCAGGAGTGCTACAAGTTCTGTTTCTAGCCCGGGCGACTGCTGGTCTCGAAGACCCAACAGCGGGAAAACCTGAAACCTTTGGTGAGCTACTGCTCATCAATCTTACAAGCTTTGGCGGGATATCCGATCATGCGGCATGCAGCGGAATCCACGAACAATGTTAGTGTTTTGGTGGGGTTTCTTCACACCATCATGTTGCTTTGCCGTTCCGTCCAACATATCATCTCCGCAACATCGGGACATTGGGCTCACTGCCTTTTTCAGATCAAGGACCGGGCGAGGGGTTTATCGCCGTAGCAGTTTCCGTGCGAGATTCGGGGCTGCAGCAAAGAAGGGAGGGATGCACACTCTGGCAGACAACATCGCATTGCAAGGAGAACTCCGACTGCCGACAACGGCTCACTTAAATGGATATGCCTGGGTCAGCATCCCTGCCTTAAAACTTGAACAACAAAAGCCCTAAGCGAACCTTCCAGTGGAACCTTCACATCCTATCTCCAGAAGGCGCCAACCCAGAAGTTCAAACCCTTGCGAGCTGCGATGCGGGCCTGAACAGTGATGCACCCGCTGCCATCAGGTCCCACAGAGACCTCTTTGACTGAAGGCTTCCTGGTGCTTCGGCCTGTGCCTCTACTGGCCTCTGCGCAGCTCCAACACATCTCCACCCATGTCGCGACACAACACCGAGAAAATGTCCTGTCCATCAACAACCCCAAGAGGCGGATGTTGCAGGCCGGGCCGCCTTGACTTTCTTGAACTGGAGAGGCGCCGTCTGAAGCAGCGCGTAGGTGACCTGAGCGATCTGCGCTCCCAGAGTACCCAACAGGCTGGTGAAAACGAGCTCTCTGAACTTGGAACCTCGGTTTTTGGGCCTTCTTCTACCGCGACATCTTAGCTGGGCATAGTGATTGATATAAGCCCCTGCCTTGCAATTAAGACAAAACTTAAGAAACTATGTCACGAAACTTTCAGAAGCTAGGAGCCCCAGCAGATTTTTCAAAATATAGGGATTGAACGAGTCAATTATAAGCACCAGCTGTTGTCCAGCAATCCCCGAGAACAGAATGTGCGTGCAGCTTCAGAGCCCAGAGCCCTGCAACAAGACTTTCCCGCATGTGCCTGCGCCCAAACGCGGTCTTCGCATCTAGGCATTGGCACGGTGCGTGCCGTACGGAGATTCGAAGGAAGCAGCCGCAGCGCGAACCTTGGCACCGCGAAACCGCCAGAATGAATCGTTGAGGCCTTGCAGTTGCTGCTTGGCAGAAGGCAGCACTGAGGCGACTTGGGCAAGGTCTGCACACATGAGACTGACCAGACTAATCACAGAGATGACGTTGCTACGCAGCACGAGATGCAAAATTCTAAGGCAGCAGTTGGCGCCACAGAGCGATGTTGACTTCATGCCATTAGTCAGATGCAGTCGGGGTTGGTGCCCAAAGGCAACGATGCTTTAGCCCAAGTACTTCTTAAGCACCGAACACCTCAAAGATCGTCAGCCTTGCAGAACGGCGCAAAACCATATCGACGCACTCATCAGTGCTCCTACACTTCCAAGGGATCCGAAGCGTAAGCACCTGGCAGCCATAGCCCAATGGGAGCCAAGGCGAACCCCCCTGTGTACACGAGCTCCTTCCTTGGGAAGCGATGGTTTGAAGTCAATGGGCTCCAACTTAGACGGACATATTATACATATGTTCATGCTCGGTCCTTTGCCTGCATCGGAAACTCTTCCGAATGATTCGAAAGTACATACGTCATGCGGGGGGTGGGCGGGGGAAACTCTTCGCGCATTCGGAAATGAAGCCTGACTTCTTGCGATGATATGAAGCCAGGCTGTTCCTGGACGACGACGAAACAACGATGTTGGTGACAGCGGCGGTGATGATGATGATGATGGTGATGATGATGATGACGATGATGCTAGTGCTATCGCTAGCTCCAGTGCTCGTGCTAGTTCTAGTGCAAGTTCCCGACAAAGGCATCAACAACTGTTCCTGCCAGATACTGCCAAAACAACAGCGGCGACAAAACGACGATGCCAAGGGCGACAACGACGATAAGGACGAGGATGACAAACAGTGCTGCGCTAAACAGTGCCACAGCACCACCACCACGGCTGCATCGACGGCTACTGCGACGAGAACGAAGATAAGTTCCACGACGAGGCTGTGAGAAGAAGCACGAAGACTATCTACCAAGGCCAACAGCTACAACAAATCAAAACAGTATTGCTCGCGATATCCTGCCGTGTCGGAGTGGGAGTGGGAGTAGGGATAGTAGTAGTGCTACCAGAGTGGTGGTGGTAGTAGTAGTAGTAGTAGTAGCAGCAGCAGTGGTGGTAGTAGCAGCAGCAGCAGCAGCAGCAGGAGTAGTAGTAGTAGTAGTAGTAGTAGTAGCAGCAGGAGTAGTAGCAGGAGTAGTAGTAGTATAGTAGTAGTAGTAGTAGTAGTAGGCGTCCCCCCCAACCAACCACCTCTGCTATACGCCCTCTTAAGAGCACATCCGTTTTACTCGGTATTTACGGTACGTTCGTCATGTCATAGCACTTATTCTTGCCTCCAAATCCACTCCGCTACTTTGAGAAATTCGGCTTCGGATTTGGGGGCGGGGGGTGGGGTGGGGAGGGGGGGATCATGATGACATTGTTACACAGACACCTCGATCAATATCTCCACAAGAACCGTCTTTCTCGGTATTTACAGTACTTTCGTGATGTCGGACACTCTTATATGATGGTGGATGATGATGATGATGATGGATGATGATGATGATGGACGATGGTGGTGGGTTGAGGTTAGTAGGGGTGTGGCTAGCAGCAGTAGCAGCAGGAGGAGGAGGAGGAGGAGTAGTAGTAGTAGTAGTCGTGGTGGTGGTGGTGGTGGTAGTAGTAGTAGCAGCAGTAGTAGTAGTAGTAGTAGTAGCACCAGCAGAAGTAGGAGAGGTGGCACTAGCAGTATCATTAGTGCTACTGTAACAGTAATGAACAAAGAGGCCATCCTTGACACGGATGATCTGCGAATTCTGCGACCCACTTGCCCTTGCAAACACCTGGCCAACTTTGGCGCGTAAGTTTCGCGAGTTGGGGCGTGCCGACATCCACTGCAGCCTTTGCTGTCATGCTTCCACTGTTCCCTGAAGCATGCTTTTTAGAATACAAGGCGGAGTACATATCGAAATGCTGCAACGAACCTGCCAGCACATCATCCCCCAAGCGTGACTCTCAGTCGCAACCCTTCTCAACGACCACTAACTCATCAGGCCCAGGTCAACATGGGACAAGCGCAAGTATTGGGCTGCCTGCTTGCTTCGACGCTTCAGGGAATTCTCCAGGACAATGCCCATGCAGTATGCAGGAATGACCAGCATCATGGCCTGAGACATCTTACGGCCATCGTGTGGTTAGGACAGTCATGACAAAGTGCCGATGACCGAGTCGAGCCTGTGGCCTTCGACAACTTCTCAATAAATCAAGCCAGCGTAGCTTCAAACAAGGCTCTGTTGCGACGGTAGCTCCCAGGAGGCCTTGTGGTGTACTCAAGCAGTCAGACGTCCACCCATCGATCCATGCTATCTCTGCAAGCTGCTCAAAACGGTTCCGACGTTCGGCACGTTGACCTTTGTGAAAATATGCAGTAAGCCGGAGGTCTAGAAAGTGACAGGCGGAGACGGGGAGTTCTTGCCAAGCGTCAGCAACCACGGCTTGGCAAGCCAAACAGGCAATGGACACGGCTATGCCTCGAGATGGACGATTTTCTTGCGAGACTTCCTCCCCTTCCCCATCACTTGTTTGCAGCCATGTCACGAAAACACGGCTGCTGATCCCGAGCTTCTTCCACATTGGTTGGGCTCCTTAGCTGCGACAGGGAAGGGGTGCGGGGTTCTTGCTTGGTCCATGCAAGCAGGTTTCGCAAGGAAATGTGGTTCACCATGCTTCAAGATGACGATTCGATCACCTACAAGAAGGGGGGGTTGGGGATCCGTTTTCGGGCCAAACTAGAAGGGGGGGGGTTGATCCTCGCAAGACCTCTGCCCTCTTTAAATGCTCGGAACATCATTTTCAATTCTGTTGGAAATGCCTTGCAGCCCTCCCCTCCTTCCTCCTCTCCTTCTTGTTTGGCCCTCACTCTTTGTAGGTGCTCGGAACATCATGTTCACGAGCTGAACCACAATCCATCCCAAAACCCAGGTTAACTCCCCAACCCCACCCCCGCTATCGGCCGTGTCTGCGGAAAAGAGCACCTTGCTGCAGAATAGTTGCTCTAGCAGCGTGGGATCCGATTTCACGAAGTATTCCTTCAGCTGAACACCTGATTTCACCTGAGCAGTTTGAGAGTTCCTGTAAACGGCTCTAGCGCGCTGAAGCTGTTGCGCAAGCTACCCCGAACTGGCAATACCCTGACACATGTAACATCATGCAACTCTTATACACATACACGCCCAAGCCACCGTCGGATTCAGATTCGCGGGAATCGCGACCTGGGAGATGAATTGGACTCCAAGGATCACGCTAGGGGCACGATCCTGCCGCCCCATCTTCTCTGGAGCGTTTTGCATCAAATTTTGCCATAAGGCTAAAAATCCCAGCAAGTCTAACTATGTTTAACCGTTTAACTAGGCCATTTCAGCACTCACCGTTTCTAGCTGTAGCCGGACACGGTACAGAAAAAGACGGACACAGGATTCGCTGCAAACATCTGCAAACGGTTGGCCACAACCCGAAACAAGAACCTTAAATCCTTGAGCCTTCAAAAACGTGGATCCCCAAAGCTGGCACAACATTCTTACACCTGTAAGCCCTCAAGCCTACAGTAACGCTTGATACATTGCCCTGGTAGACCTCTTATGAAATCCTGGCCGATGGCGTCGTTTCGACTCGCACACTCACTCAAGGCAGATACTGCTTCACTCCGATGCCCCACATTTGCACCGTGATGTGCCAAGGTATGGAACAATGCAAAAACATGTCTGCCGTCAGTTGGAAACAGAGAACTTTCCACGACCACAGATGATCACCACACCGCACAATCCGCACATGGACCCGGTCCTATCATGGCGACGGTCTGGACAAAAACAGGCCTCCTCTACTCCCGCGCTGGAAAACAAGGCTGATGCTAAACATTCCGTATTTGGCCCTACAGTATTTGTTCAAAGCGCCAGGTTCTGGACAGGCTCCAAAACAAGATCTGCCAGCTGATGACAGGCACGCAGGCAAGGCTTAGACGAAATACGGCGTGTTTAGGCCAGTTGAGGAAAGGCTAGTAAACAAGGCTTGCACTAAATACGTTGAACTACGGCATATGTAGAGTATAAGGTGTGGACGGACTCGAAACCAAGGCTGCCACGAACTACATAACTACGGCGTGTTGTGGACAGGCTCAATACAGAAGCCTCCACTCACTACGACCTACATAGCCATGCAGAAGTGTCATGCAGAGTCGTCTCGAAGCGCGAAAACGAATACGAAATTTAGTTTCATTGTGCTTCCATTTTAGTCAAGAATTGTTTGCTTCCTGCCTGAAACTATCCTCAGTGACACTTACTTTGCTGTCGAACATTGTCACGGAGCATGCAGCAACAATCAAACACAGTCTTTACTGGGTTTGTTTCTACTCTCACCGGTTTCTGAGATTGCTTGCCATAGTAAGCACAAATTCGGAAATAAACAATGGTCTTGCGCAGGTCTGAACTCCCTCACACAGTTGGCTAGCTCAAGTGTCGCAGAGACTGAATTTCTCGAAACCAAAATTCTCGCACTAGGACTAGGACAATCTGACAAACAACACATTGCGTGTCATGCGTGAAACCATGTTCGGCGACACGACGTGTCGTGGAGAATGAAATGGAATCGAAGCGAACATGAATGCAAAATTTGCCGCTTCTTGGAAGTAAGACCAGACAGAAATGATGGCATATCTTGCACGCCCGAGGCCACGCTCCCTGATACTGTTGGGCGGAGGAAGTGTCGCCGCAGAACATGTGGTTTCGTGAGGGTACCTCACTCTGAATTTAAAAAGTTGCAGAAAACACAATTTTGCCTCCCGCCTGGCTAGGACGATACCTACGATGCAGGGTCTGACAATGGCACACGAGAGAAAGAAGCACGATGCTTAGCAACGCGATACAACACTACTAACAGGCAACATTGACCTGCAGAACGGCCATCACGGCCAGGAATACTCGCCGCTGTGGCGACATCCCAACGTCAAAAACATGCACTGTACTGCACGAGTATTCCTCCTCACAGACAAAACGAACATTCCCACCAGCTTCTAGACAGCAGACAGCACCATCAGCTGGGGTTTCTCACTCTCCCATTTCTTTGTACATCCTCCTCTCTCGCCTCGCTTGCTGAACGTGCCCGAGGGGGTCTAACTCCAGAGCTGCATGACTGCGCTGCACATGAGCCAGACACGTTCCGAACACTTGCTAAAGGACTTCACCACGGATCTCATGCTCTCGGACTGACTCTCATCAGACATGCAGGTGTACCCACCGCAACGTAAATTCAATTCTGTACAATGGAAATGTATACTGCCTGTACAATGCCTCAAGCCAGCGTGTTAGCTGTTAAAAGGTGTTGTGGAGTGGTTTGGAAAGGAAAATGCGCAGAAGATTTGCCTGGACATGCAGAAAAATTGTGCTTTTCCCAGACAGCTCTAGCTTGGTGTTCTTGTCTGAGGTTGATTTGGCTTTTTCGCGCCAGCACTCTAAATGACGTAAGCAGTCCCTGAATGCTTTGATGACCGTCTCGGATTCGTGGATTCACTTCCAATGTGTCTCCTTGCTTTCGGCCCGTTGCAAGACGAGAAGAGCCTGGTCACACCCGTCTTGGAATCAAATGTCTCCCTCTGTGCGCGAAGCCCGGATGCTGTGACGCCCGTCTGGGACTGGTTGCTTTGTCTGGCTCCCATTTGTCTCCGAGTTGTGTCTGCTTGTTTGATTTGTTTGTGATATCAGCGGACTCTTGCTGCTGTGACGCCCCTGGGGGACTGGTGGATTCATCCGCGTCCTTTTCTTCCCCACATGGTCTCTTGCTTTCACAATGAACCCTTGGATGCTTTATTCGCTCATCCTGCTTTTTGAAAACAACATTGGCCCCGTCCGGTGCCGGAATATCAAACGGTACTGAGCATCGTCAAGCTTCAAATGCATTGGCTAACTGGCCAATAATTGAATCGATTCAGTGCTCCATTTTGTCGAAAGCAACGGCCCCCGTCGGCGCGCGACGTGCCAGTAGTTGTAAAGTGCAATATGGAAGATTGAGACGCATTGGCATATTTCGCCATGTTTGAAAACCCATTCGGTCCTCCGAAGGCCCTCTCTGGCGCCGGTACTTCTTTGCTATGTGCGGAGGTGCAGTGGTACCCATCCATGTTGGAAAACCATTCGGTCCTCGTTTGTTCAAAGCAATGGGCCACTCACTCCAGTGCCGGTGCTGGTACTTGCTTAGTGTGTGGAACGATATTTCGCCATGTGGGCAAAAAGCATTCGGTCTTCCTTTCTGTTGTTGTTTAGCCATGGGCCATGGTCACCTCCCGTGCCCATGCGCAAATAGTTGTGCTTTTGCCTTCAATGCTCCTCAGTTGCTGTTTGGGCGAGGCGGGTATACTGCAAGGCGTTTTTGAACAAGATGAACCCCGTGAGGACAACAACATCTACGCATTCTCGTTGGAAACACCAGCATGGAAACTCCAGTGTGTTTTTTCTCGTCTTTGCCTCCTGCATGGACTGCGAGTCGCGGAAGCGGGTTTTGCAGATCCAGTGATTAGCCTCCTGGGTTTTCCGCCGAAGCCGGGAACCACGTCTTGGGCAAAGGACCAGTTGTAGTGGCCGCTACCCGTTACATCCCGTTACCCCGTGTTAACCCCCATCTCAGGCCCCTCCTCGGAGCGATCGGGCTTCTGTTTTCGTCCGGTAGGAGGGCTGTCATTTTCACAGTTTGTCCGCGGGTCTTCCCAGGAGTTTGGGCTTGGGTCTCACAGCGGGCGCTAGCACTTGGAAATCTGCAGCAAAACATATGCCAACGTTGCCGGCTGCGGAAAAGCACCGTGACCGTGGCCCTCCCTGAGGCAGTTCTGGTGCTAGTGGTTATATTCGCCCTGACAGTTCTGCCTGTCCAAAGCCTGGGTCGACAATTTGGCGGGTTCCGTAAGTCAACTAACTTGAAATCAATAATTCAGCAGGAATGGTCTGCTGCCTGAAGCCATGCTCCATGCGTTCGATGCAAATTCCACGGAGACAATGACGCCTTTCAGTCATAGACTCAGCAGTCAAGCGGCCATCATTGTTAGTGTGAGGAAGCAACGGCCGGCAGCTACAAAGTAGTCCTTCAAGGCGACGGTGTCTGCATCTCAAAAAGCATGACATGTGCTGCTGCGGCAATGGAACAGACACACCGACTGCCCTCGTGGTGCCGAGTCCGTAGGGTTATAGTTCTCCAGGATGTCCGAGAGAGTTGCATTCAGAAACGACAGGTAGCCTGAGCGCCATGGCAGCTGCATGTTTACGAGCGGTGACGGTTCTTTGGAAGATTTTTGAACCAAGGGACCGGTCACGCCGATCAAAACATAGAAGGCACACTGGAAGATGTTCACACGCGCCGACACTTTCTTCATTCGTTCGCGTGTGGGTCGGACAAGTCGGTCCGCTATCGGAATCACGTTCAAGTGGCAGTTGAACGCAAATACGCACAAGGCGAATGCCTGGCAAATGCCGACTGCATGATGCACTGGCTTATGTTGCCTCGCCTCAAAGAAGTGCAACGAGAACGTCGCCAGTCTGAGAGGTCCGTTCGCTTCGCTGTTCGCCTACCGGCGTTGACTTCCAGTGAAACTGAAAATGAAAGACTGAAGCGCCTGCTCAAAACTTGCATGTGCTGATGGAGAAACTGGAATACCACACTTTGGAACCTCCAAAGAAGTATCATCAGTCCCCGTGCAACCAAAGCGGCACGGAACATTCCGGGACACTTGACAGTCACAACGATGGACATGTACCTTGCTGGTCTCCCGTTTTGCTGTGTATGGGTGTATGCCGGTTCTGGATTCCGTAGAGGTCTGGTCAGGTCATGCAGTTCTTTCCGGGTAGAGCCCAGTCACAATAGCGACATGATTGACACCGGCTGAAGAAACTTCAGCTTAGACAAGTCGTTCGGAAGCATCATCGGTACGAGCAGCACCTCGCAACACGTTATTGAACATGCTGCCTTCATTTCAGTGTAGCTGGTGCGCGGGTTCGTCGAAGATGAGCCCAGCACAGCTGCGATAAGGATGGAACATGTCCGCGTAGGACCTGCGTTTGCCCGAGCTTTACAACAGACAGCGCCGCACAGCAACTGCAGCCCTCGCGGCCAAGTTGCCCTTGGTGTCCTGTGCCCAGTTCTCTGGGAAAATTAATGCGATGATGTTTGGCACGAAATCCCCAATGAAGACCATGTACCCAACCTTGTTTCATCAAGTGCTACTGTAACACAATCAAGCCATGTCAGTCGCAGGATCTCTCAGCAGTCCCAAGAATGCCACGCAAGCACCATTGCCGTAGATGAAAAGCATCGCATCTAGGATGGGGCCTCACTGCCAGTGCAATGCCCCTTGAGAATTTGCATCGTTTCAGTGTGTCTGCCCGCCTGCTTTGGTTCCGGCACAGTACGAAAAAAGCGCTGCATAGGAGCTGCAGCCTGTTCGGTTGCTCCTGACACGACATTTTTTCGACTCTTTGCCAGGTGGACATCTGGTACTGTGCACCAGGTGCCGGTCATGTCCATCAAGGCATCCATTCCAAGATAGGCCAGAAGGGCGCCGGTCATCAGCATCAAACAGCCCAAGCCGACTCCACAAATGTTCATGACCTTTCTTGCTGAGTGGTTAAACGTGTGGACGACTCACTGACCAAATCTCACGGCTGAGCCGTGTGCGAAAGAAACGGACAAGACTCCACCACCCAGCGCGGTGGTGGTCAAAGTCAGCATTCCTTGGCGATGCATGCCAACTTTCTCAAGAAACTTGTTTTGCCGGCTGCAAGTTCGGGGTCTGGCAAATCAATGCAATCAATTCGTCCACAGCATCACCAAGTCAACAGTTTGCACCGCAGTGTTGAAGAACAACTGTAACACAAAGACATGGATCTTGGATACAAGATGCCGGCAGAAGCTAGCAAGGCGAATGGGCAAGAGTGGAGTCGAGTCGGCAAGTCGTGAGAGGGGTCCTATGCATGGCTTGTCTAGATGGGCATGCGCACGCGACAGACGAAGAAGACGAAGTCACGCCGGAAACAGCCCTGATCATTATGCCCAGCAGCCAGATCGAAAGCCGTTTTCTGTCATGGGCGATAGCCATCTCTCCTGCATGTTACGCCCAACGGCCCAGACCCACCGAAGGCAGTTTGTCTACACTTCCCCATTGCTCTGCAGACTTCGCAGCATAGCGTCAATGCAGGTTCGCGCATTGGGCGCCGATGTGGACACCTGGCAATGCTCCCGACCAAGACGCTGTCAACAACTACTTCGGCGATATACATGTGGAGCGCACAAACCGAACACGGTCGAGCAGTGCACCCCGATCAGAGGCCTCAACGGCGGGGAGGCTCATCCAGAGTCCCTGAAATGCGTTATCCGACCGCCATCGCTCAGTCGCTTGGGCCAAATGCCTGCGATCTGCCAAGCCGCACCTCGTTGCGAAACTACGAAGGCAGTCTAAGCAGCATCTGGTGCTGTCACCTCGTTGATGGCTGTCTCCTTCTCGTCCTTTTGCAGAAGGCCCACCACCTGTTCTGTGCTTGGCCCTTTTATGCTTTTCCTGAGTGCTTTTTGAGCCTCTCCGGTTGCCAACATGGAATTCATGATCTCCAAGAAATTCTCGTTTATGACATCTTGGTCAGTGAAGATAAACGTGACGTCCTGCCATGAAAAACAGGTGCCACCCTTCGCTCAAAGGCAAAGCTGGCTCAAAGCGATGGGCAGCTTGTCCTCATCCTTCTGGCCTGCAATGATGTACAACTCTTTCAGGTCCTGCGAAACCGCAGCATCAATAGCTGGCTTCCGGGTTATGCAAACGGCTCGAAGCACCTCCATGAACTGTATCTCACCTCGGAATTGGTGGCTAGGTGCTTCCTTCAGCGCCAACTGCAGTGATGCATCCAGCGAAATGTTGCGCTTTGTCAAACTGCCACACAAAAACTGCCTGAGCTGAGCCACAGGATAAGCGACTACGAGTAAGGCCCCGTCTGTATGTTTTGGTGATGGTGATCTGGAACAAGTAGTGCCCAGAAATGAATGCAGCCAAGCGGGTCAACGATTGCTTGCCTAAGCATGCAGGTCTCAGAAGCAGCAGAGACTTGGAATATCGTGCCTATGCAGTCTTGCCACCTGTACCCTTGGTGTACCCTCCCTGCCTGGCACGCCTGGCCTGCATCTTGATCAGTAGGGTTTCAGAGTCATTATGAAATCATTCACGTACGTTTTCCTGAACTGCCCTTGCCACTCGTTTACTCCCTCTTCTTACGCATCATGAAGGACCAGATGTCAACAAGGTAAACGGACATCCATGAAGCCACCAGCTGGCAATGGCGCCGTCTTCTGCCCTTTGCTTGTTGGGGATGATCGTCGACCAAGTTGTTCAACTTCTTCCTAGAAAGCCGACATGCGTCGCTGCATCGCCATGAAATGACAGGACTCACATGCTTCTGGCGATTTATGTCTCAAGTTCATTTTCCGGCCGCCGGATTCCGTACCTGGTGATTGAGCTTGCAGAACAACCCACACGAGTAGCTGATGTCTTGCATGCTCAGACCCAGTCACATGCTGAGCCGCACTCGAATCGAGCTGCTAGCGACATCCGTAGCCTACAGTAGGGTGCTCGTCTTCCTCGCAGTTGCAAGACACCGGTTTCTAGACATGATACTGATACTCTGCCTGTGGCGAATTCATCTGTGCCAGGTTCCGCTAATGGCCGTTCATCGGTCCCAGTCTAGTCGTGACGCGACGCATTCGAGGCCTGGTGTCAATCCATATCACGCTCTTCGGCAAGAGGTTGTGATATGGATCCAAGCACTGAGTGGTTGAAACGGCATGTCCACGGATTCAAGAGCGATTTGAGTTGCGTGACATCTGGTTAGCATTTCAAACTTGCCTCACGTCACGACGAGAGTCCAGTGGACTCTGCTTGCAGATGTTGTGGGTGGTGGGCAGCAGGGCCGCGACATGCCGTGCTGCATGATATGCAAGTGGCAGGTTGCTTCCGCACTCCTGTCGGGGAATTGGACGGCACTTTCGTGACTTGACCAACAACATTCAATCGGATGCAGCAGATTCGCATCTTGGACATAGGTTTGTAATATTACTAACGTAGCTGAAGAACTGGGGCACCACACTAAAGCGACAGGGGAAGCCTACATCAGAATACGCCATCGCTCAACCACTACAGCTACGCGGGCCCCCTCAGCTGCCAAACTGGCACACTATTGCTTGAAGGAAGGCCGCAAACTTTAAACGTGACGTCCACGAAAACCAACAGGCACGACATTGCAGGTTATCAGCCGTTTGGCTGAGCTGCACAAACTGCCAACCACTTTTCTGATCTGCCATGCTGGGTTCCGAGCCACTGCCGCCGACTCCGACCAACATGGCCTTGCATTTTTCACTGTCGGAACCCAGCTGACAAGACGCAACCTTGGAAAGGTCGCAACAAAGGCCGCGACGCTGCCACGCTTTTGACGAATGGTTCGATTTATGCGCATCCTCAGCTCAGGTTCTGTGAGGGGCCCCGTGAACGCGACCAAGCATTCAAATTATTCAAACTTGGCAATGGGCAAGTGCATCATTGCATCCTCAAACAACACGAGATTCATCGCCTTAGCAAAAGCATGATTCTGGTATCCAGTGCAGCGTTGGCAACAACATGGAACGACACGACGATGGATGACCTGAAAACATGCGATGGGCTGCTGCAGCAGCAAGCAACTTCCGACAGCAATCACAGCTCGTGCTATGTCGCCACTGGCACAAACTAAACAGGGGCCACACGTGCCAACGCAGAAAACGACGTGTAAGAGAAAGAACAGTTTCTTGCGTTTTTTTCATGGCGGCATCCTCAAAACGATTTCTGCTGCCCGCCGTGCACTGAGCCAACAACGACCGTAGTGAGGTCACCATGACATGAAGCAGCGTGCGAATCGTACCATATAAATGCACAAATGTGATGCACATCTTTACAACAAAAGCTCGCAACTTTAACGTGTTGTGAAACATATTGCGAAGGATGACAATCTCAATGTGTGTGTGTGTCTGTGTGTGTGTGTGTCTGTTGAGTACGCAAGTACGAACTTGATACACAGTCGAATGGTCGAGCCACCGAGACCAACAGTCGCAGAATGAGCGGAGCTGGGTACTCCTTCCGGCCCCATGGCAAGCATCACGTTCCCTTCTTATGGAGGGTCACCCTAGGCCTCTTCCAGGTGGTTGTATGGTTTTTTTGGGGGGGATTGTTTTCCGGCTAGGTCTGGGTCTGAGAGTACTTTCGGATTTCAGCGGTTCAGGGTTAAGAACTTGCGCTCACTTTTCTCGAGCTACACTTTGCTGTGCTGTTGTGTTCTGCTGACGCAAGGGAGTGCATGTTCCAGCTTTCTCTCCTTCCTTTTTCGCCTCTTTCTCTCTCTCTCTCTCTCTCTCTCTCTCTCTCTCTACCGGGAACGAGCGGATGCCCGAACTCTTGCGCGCTCGCGCACGCCTGCGGGTCTCTTCAGGGTTTTGAACTTCCACGGAGGGGGCTTCACCCCCAGTGGCTTGGCTTTACATACATGTGCCGCGGCACGAAAAGAAGAAGGCCATCATGTCATCTTCCCCAGGGCGCCCAAGACAAGAAAACAAGTAGCCTTCAACCCTCCCCCCAATGCCGGCCTTCGTCTGGCAGCAGGAAGAAATACGTGCGTCCCTTACTATTCCTCACTGTTTCGTGCGGGTTTATCATCCGTTCTGCATGGTTTGAGCGGATCGTCTTGGAGCTTCCTGTCCCCCAAATGCCTTTCGGCTACTTTGCGCCTGGTGTGTTGAAAAGAAACAAGGATTGGGGGCCGAAAGGAACCCTATCTAGGAGTGGGCTTGCCTGAGCAAGAGTCGAGCATGAATCTTGACCCGTTTAACGAAGGAAAAGGTTCAAGCATGCCATTAAGACCCACAAAAGCAGAATCATCCGAACCAAAACCCCCAACTAAAGCCAGAACCTTGCCCCGCACGAGAAAAGCTTTTCACGGGCCGGCTCACTCGCTCTCACTCAGCTTCACTTCTCCCCGAACTCGTTGCACAGGTTCCGTCTTTGGGTTGGTTCGCCTTTGTCTCACGCCGTGTCCGGAAAGTTTTGTGGTCCCCGGTCTTGGCGCGGGTTCCTCCCCCTGTGTTCGAGGTAGCTTCGCGGTGTGCAGTCTGAGCTCATTTAAGGAAAATTTAAGGAGGTCCTGGATTTTGCAAGGAACCTCTCCACATATGTGTGCAGCTCTTCCTCCACCTTTGGGTTGCTCGTCTGCATTGAGTCCCTCCTCTGGTTCATATAGCAACACCAGCCCCTTTGCCGTTGTCTGGCATACATGGCACCAAAAACTCCATCTCATCTTTCTTTCTCATCATTATTTTAACTTCATCATATTTCACCATACCTTCAGCCCTGAGCTGTTGCATTAAGTAGTCCAGAGTTCTTCGCATCAGTTCTTGCCAAGCCTGTCTCTGTGTGCGCGTGCGCGCGCGCGCGGGTGGGTGTGTGTGTGTGTGCGCGCGTGTGCGCGTGCGTGCGCGTGCGCGTGTGCGTGTGCGTGCGTGTGCACAAGTGCCCATCCAAAGGCATCATCAGATTTCATTCCCTAAATTCCAGGTTTTCGCTTATGGTTGCTCACGAGCAATGCGCTTCATGTTTTTCTGTCGCTGGGCTTACTTCGCTCCAGTGTCGAAGTTTAGAACTTGGTCGGAAATGTGGTCGAACGTGGTCGAGCCGGTCTGCACTGCGCTTCGTGAGTCCTCTTCACTGCGTCCCCCCTCCCGGCCAGTCCCGGCCCCCCGACTGCCCGGCCCCAGTCTTGTCATTCCGGAATTGCTGTGTGTGTGTGTGTGCCTGTCCGGAGACAATAACACCCGTTATCACCCGTGTGGCTGCAGAAGTTGCAGACCGTTCTACTTTCCCATCCTGAAAGCCCGAACAGTCTTTTCCGGAAAAGCTCCCGCCTTGGCCGGGTTTTTCTCGTTGAACCTGCCGGAGTCATGAGGAGTCATGGAGCACAGCGCCAACAAAACGCCCATGGCCTCGCCAAATATTCGTAAGCTTTTCTGGACACGTGCGAGAAGGACCTGCAGCTGAGAAAAGGTTGATCCAGAAATGGCGGGCCCGCCGCATCTTGCCCCCGAGACCCTGGCTGAACAGGCTCATACACTTTCGGCGCAGGATCCTCAACAAAAGCGGCACCCCTGTTTGCCAATGCTTTGGCAGCGCACGTGCGCCATGATGTGCCATACCAGTATAGTCCTCGTCGTCTTCAGTAGCAGGTGGCTTGTCTCCTGAAACGAGCCGAGCGATGCGGAGCCCGCTAGCCCTTGCTGGATCTTTTGCGGCAAGTACCGCACTTTCGGATGTCGATTGCTTTAAGACATATTAAGATACCTATACTAGCACGGGAAGTAGCAGAGCGTTGCATGGTTTAGGAACGCTTTTCGAGTTGAGGCCGCCACGTTGGAAGTCACACCACCACTGGGTCGGGGCCTCGCGAATACAATAAGACCACCACAAGTCCCAGAAGCCCGGAAGCCCAAGCATGTGATTGTCTCTGGGCTCTCGGCAGTGCTGCTGGCCAGAGATTCTCCAAAGTGCTCAGCCTGGCTTTCGGCTCGGGATACTTCTCTGCCGACTTGTCTCCGGCGTATGCTTGTCGTGGAACTGCTGAGGTAACGGCGGCAAACTCGTGGACTATCTTGTCAACCTGGGCCTTATCCTTGTCCACGCAAGACTGGCGACTTGACTTGGGGGGATGACATTACTTCTCGGCTGCTCCTGTAGCCGAGCCTAGCCTGTTTATCGAAGCCTCCAACACCCCGCCAACAACTATGGCAGCTGTGAAATCAGTCCTTCTCGCGAGAAAGCTTGTCCGCAAAAACGCGGGTGCACTCGTGCCTGCAAATGGCTGTCGCATCGTTCACGTTACAACAATGATTCGTTGTCTCTTTTGTTGTGCCTGCAACATCCTGTGCTGAGATAGCAGCATTGGTCATGCCAGCCATGCCGCAGACATTCGACAACTGACTATATAGACTAGAGGACAAGACTAACCTTTAAATTCCGTCGCTGCTCGAAAAATGCTGACAGCGAAATCCCGGGTGCGCTCTCAAGGCTCTCCGGCCTCCACAGAGACACAAACTTCTCCTCGTCCACGATCTGAGGTCGTGGGAACTCTCGGAACAGTTCCAGCAAGCAGGGGCCAGGGAAACCGTAAACCTTTGCAGCTCAGGGTGCGGGCCACGGTCTGCGGGGTCTCCAAGATGCCCTCGTGACGATGGCCGGAAAGCAGGCCATGAACACAGCACACAAGCCCGACCAGTGAAGACTTACAAGTCCAAACCTATTGGAGAGTCCAGGCCTTTGCTGCATCGCATTTCTTCGTCAACCGCTTATTTAGTTCTCGTGCGAGAAATGAGCGAAGCAACGTCCATGCTCCGGGAGACACCCAGCTCGAAAATCACATGTAGCTACTGCTATCAAAACATGATGCGATACAGCCTTGTTATACCACAGTATGTCTTAGGTCAGACATCGAACATACGCACACCACGGCCACTTTTTCAGTTAGCATGGGCATGCTGCGATTCAAACGGGATGAACAAGCGGTCGACTCGTTATCGTCTGCCCAGAGCCTAGACAATCATGCCTCCAACTAGAATGCTGTGGCAATTGGCGCTGCGGTGAGAAAGCCATACTTGCACTCCAAGAACGAAAGGTCCAGAAGTCTAGGTCAGGTGGATGCCATAATTCTATAATTATAGCTGCCTGGAACACGCGACTGAGCTCTCGCAGGTTGAAGATGTAGTGGAACCTTCCGGGCTTGATATCTGGACTGAATCTGAAGCTTTTCAAGGCCGAAGTTGTGACATCCTGCCTCGAAGGTGTTGGCAAAAGAACTTTTTGGACCTGTCATGCTGAGTCTGAGTGAGCAAGCTTTACAATTAAAAACCTTGTTCTTCCATACAGCCCAAGAGCAGCGTCAAAATTGAAAACCTGTCTGTCTCCGTCTCTCTTATTGCTTTCTTTTCTTCGGGCTTAGGGGTCATGTGAGATGCCCTCAAGCGCTTTGGCCCGACCACCCACACGATGGGATATTGACTTTGAGAGGGCAGCATCGGGGTCGTAAACTTGGCTGTGAGCCAAATTGCTGGAAGATTGGAGCTCATGGACACAAAAAGCACTAGCCTCACTCTTACTTGTGATTGCAAGAAGCTGCATGCCGTTGTCGAGAAGCAGCGATGCAGTGACAGCTGCCGCTTGTAGTATGTTGAAATCTATGAGCAGAAAGCGAAAATGATCAAACTTCCCTCTAGGGCCTTGGTCCACACAGAAATGGTTGCAGCTGTGACGTTGCGGGTCAGCGACAAAATGCCTGCACGACAGCTGCGATGCTTGGATGCGGATGAAACACCGAAAGATGCCAAGCAGTTCCAAGACACGGTCAGGAAGCTCCGAACTGTTCCGAATTCCTAAGTAGAAACTAGACAAGAGTGAGCCTGGAAGGCTATAGACACATCCAGCACTCAACTTTGCCCGGTTTGCCGTGTTGGGCGATCTAGCACACAGACTCAAGCAGACCTGATCCATGGCAAGAAG